GGGTCTTAGAGGTTAATCTGAGATCTTGCTGTGCTGTAATGATGAGTTCGTGATACTGGTAAGTCCATTAACTGACCCAGTCGCCCCTTTTCCAGCCAGCTTTTCTCCCTATGTGTGTTTCTCCCGCTGTGAGTTATGTTCACACATTTTTATATTTATATTTCAGTGCTCTTCCTACCACACACACACACACACACACACTGCTGCTTTGAAAGCCACTTTGCTGCCAGTAGACCTGTCCATGTTTGTCACAGGTCAACAAGACCTTCTTCATGTGAATGCATTTGTGGATAGATTGGGAGACCCTGGATGAACACCTTCATGTGTCAGTGTTAGAGTAAGTTAATTGAAAAACTATCCTTTATATGGACAAAAAATTGTGTCCAAAAGTTGTTTGTTTTTGTTTCTTTGTTTCTTTTTTACTATAACGGCAGCTATTATAATCTGAGCTAATCATTAGTATCTTTAATAAACAAATACACAGGGAACTATCCTCAGCTAGCAACAACCAAAAAAATCTTTGCAGGATAATAAAAAATCTCGAGTTTTTTTCCAGATCTTTCAGATATATGATTAGAATATATGTTTGTCTAGATTCCAACTTTCAGCTGGTTCCCTTTTGTGTTCAGCTGTTGACCACCACAACACTAGCTCAGGATTATTATTTTTTCTTGCTGTGCACACTAACATAGCAGGCTTAACCCAGCCCTGTATTCAGCTGTACCTAATCCCAGTGTTGGTGTTGTACCAGAATCATCATAGTCAATGTCGGTCCAGGTTAGAAGTGACCAATCACATTGTTATGATGTCATAGTTTTACGACATGGAAAAATCTGCTGATGTTCACTCAAGAAAACATCCTGAAAAGGGGGCAGTTAAGTCTCAGGGTTAGGCTTCGGGATGTGCTCAGGTTATAATTAGGGTTGTCTTGTGTGTGTGGTGTGATGGTGTTTACACAACACAAAATGGTTCCATCACGACCAGTGTTGGTCAAGTTACTTGAAAAAAGTAATCAGTAACTAATTACTGATTACTTCCCCAAAAAAGTAATCCTGTTGCTTTACTGATTACTTATTTTCAAAAGTAATTATTTACTTAGTTACTTAGTTACTTTTAAAAAACACGATTTACAACCTGAATAGGTGATAAAGCGATAGATCTTTCAGCCCAATTCTACTTTTTCTGCATAATCTATCATACAAAATGTAATTAAATGGAAACGTCTCTTTTTAAAACTTGTTTTTATCAGTTTTAATCTTTTAACTTCATGCATCAAGCAAAAAATGTAATTATACGCAACATTTTCTGACTGGAAGAAATTTGTTTAACCTATTTTCTGCACATTCCTGCACATAAAATAAAATATTTATTTTGTGTTTACACTCACTCTTTCAAATAGATGCAAGTAAAACACAGCAGGAAATAAATAAAATCAAACACTAGCGGTCCTGTTGCTCTATTTTCACCTGTAAAGCAGGAGTGGCGTAGGCGGAGGTTTACCCTGGTGCAGGTGAGCCGCAGCGGTCATTTGAAGAATCCGCAAGTTTCTCTGTGAGTTTCCCATTTCGTC